ATGGGAGAATCTGAGGTTTTGAAGTTTCTCTCAACCTTTCTTCGATCAGTAGTATGCTCTATTTTTGCAAAAAATGTTGGTTCCTTCACGGTGCAATTTTCCAGTATTAACACGGGGGTTGGAAGAGGCTCGTACTCTCCGACCCAACCACGACCAAATTTCAATCCTTGAGGCAGTGCTTTCTCAATCCTCTGTGAAGCAACATTCCATGCAACGGACCCAAGAGTTGCAGCAAATCGAGCCAGACTCCTAGCATATGAGTAATCAGTATAAAGTCCTACCTGATTGGGGGAATTTAAAATGAGTAAGATAGAAATGTAAAACGATGAATTAAAGATTTATTTTCAAAGTCACTCACAGGAATCAGCTGCTTCATTTCCCCCTCAAAAGTCGAGAATATAGATTCTGAACTGGCTACTAGCTGCGCGAATGATATGTTATATGTTGCACGACGGTTCTCATCATGTATGGCCAATTTCCTACCAAATCTAGATAGTGGACCCCTTCCTACAAGCATAAGGCTTAGAAGTTAGAAAAACATCACTAGAAGTGGATATACGACCTTTGATGATCTGTTAGCGAATACAAATTAAGAACAGAGGTGTGTTCTACATTTGAAGTTATTTCCTCACGTTGCATGAGATATAAAAGTTCGGACTGGCTTATAACACGAATAATCACATCAGATGTACTATAAAATACTGGGTGCATATTGTACCTAGAAGTGATTCTTCTCCCTTATCTAAATTGGTGTCATTCAAGGAAGAATTTCCCTCAACAAGCCCATCTATGCTACCAGGCCTCTCCGATCCACCAAAATGAAGTGCATTTGAAACATTTTGCACATCTTCACCTGTTGCAAGAGTGGCCCCAGATGAGAAATCGGAACCAACAGGTTCCTGCACTGTCCGGCTCACTGTTCTCTTTATTTGCTTCTTCAAAATAGAGCTTGATCTCGTACTTATATCATGTTCCGGCTTGAGCTCCTTCTCTGAGCTTTCATTATTTATCCTTATCTTTTGAATTTTCTTTTTCGCTAGCTCTTGGATAGTGCGTGCCTTCAGAATGATTACAGAATGAGGTTGATCTTTTAACAGAAACAAAAGGGAAAAAATAATAAACAAGGCAAAAAGAGGCTGTAAAACTTACCTGTTTATGGTATATGGTATCTGGGGCATTGTATTGCATGGCATTTGAGCAAATCAGAAAAACGTCACTCTGCAGATCAGCAAACAGATCTAAGAAACAGGAAAAAAATAATTGCCAGACTCCTACCCATGAAGATAACTGATATAGCTAATAGGCTAAAGATGTGTGGAATTCATTCATAAACACAGGTAGAAGGTGCCACAGATAAATCCAGAAAAGTTGTCCATCGACACAAGCCCCAATAAAATATAGAAAAAAGGGGGAAATGTGAGGGAGACTTTATTAATGTTCTTTAGGAAACAGAGCATGCACATACATTAAGACGGTGGCATCATAACAAGCAAAATAAAGCAAGACTTCAGCTACGTCCACTTCTGTTTGATTATGATCAATAGGCACCATAAACAAATAAAAATCCCAAAACTAAACATCCTTAAATTCAAAAGGAATCGATTGATGTTGTTCCTCAATGTCACAGTTCAGAAAACATATATTCAAGTATCGAACAGTATGAGCAAAACAAGGATTCAAGGACAAGTATTTCACACTTCAGTGGAATATAAACAACCAATATTTGTGACCTTGGTCTTAGCTATTCAATTCGAGAAATAAAAGATAGTGGATTCCTAACCAAGAAAAAACAACTTAATACATACTCCTTTACCTATAAAAAATGGGAAAAGTTACCATTAGGCAATCAAATGGTTAAAATTATGTTTCACATAGAGCATTGCCATTGTTTGAGAATACTTCAGATTCAGAAGACAAAAAGAAGCTCCAATCGCTCCACTTATTTACAAATTTCAGTTGCCCAGTTTAACAATCCAGATGATAATACTACTTGATGGACAATTTTTTAATGCTAATTGACATATTTATCCAGCCCTTCTTTCTAAACAGACAGCAAATGATAAAACTGAAAAAGCCAAAAGAGGACATTTCCATCAACACTTCATTTTCAAAACAATATTTCTAAGAATTTGAACATAAAACCATGAACTCCTTAACAAATTTACCAAACAAAGATTCTCTTCTAAACTCAACCTTCCACTTTGAGCCACAGGATAAAACAAGATTTTGTCTGCTACACTTGGCATAAAAAATGTTATTTTAATGATGCTCCATGAGTATCCTTAATCCACAATCATCTATATCTTGAAAAGAGAATACTTCTAAACCCAGTTTTCACTTGAAGTGGGACCCTCAAACCTTTTAAGCTGCTAAAATTACTAATCGTAGCAAGTCATTGTATCCTAACATAGACATATCCAGTTCTGTTCATTGTAAGTAGTCAAGATTAGATATGAATGATTTGGCAACATTTTTCAGCTCGAAAAAGCTAGTCATCTGGCATTCATCATCTTGTTTAAGCAAAACTCTATGAGCTCATTTGTGAAGGGACTACAGAAACCAGCATTTGGGGCAAGTATTTGGGAACAATAAAACATATTTAGCTAAAATACAAAATCAATAAAAGTTGTGCCAGAAGAACCGGAGGGGGGGATCTCCTGGACACACCAGACAATGAAAAAGGAGACCAACAAACCAACTATGGTGAAAGGAAAAGGAGGCATGGGATTGGCATTCGGATTGGGAACTCACCTCGAATTGCTCCAAAGTTTCATATGCTCCATTTCCCAGCTTGTTCCTCACGGTGGCAAAATCCATTGGATGCTTTATCACATCATGATAATCAGGAAGCTGCACAGTAACCAACGAACCAATTTACAAACTCCATAAAAGTAATGCCGCAGTAGAACCCTCTACAATTCCATAAAGAACTTTCTACCTCTTCTGGATCGACCGGTTCTGCATACACACCATATATATCCTTCCTGTCCAAAATAAAATCAAAGCACTTCAAGATCGAAACAAGCCCTTGAAATAACAAAGCAACAAATTTTCACCACATACTTCTGAAGCTTGTCTAAGATCAACTCCAGTGTCTTCTT